TTCTGTCTCTGCTGGGGAGACAGTGGTGGGGGAGATAGGTTTTTTTTCTGTGATCCTCTGGATCAAGGGAGGATAAGAAATTGCCACACCTCCCTCCCACTCACCCATTTTCTCCTCTGGGAGGCTCCCGGGTTTTTTTTCTGTGATCCTCTGGATCAAGGGAGGACAAGAAGCTTCTAAGAAATTGCCACACCTCCCTCCCACTCACCCGCTTTCTCCTCTGGGAGGCTCCCATGAGACAGTTTCTCATTGCCTCTGATTCTGCTGAGGCATGAGGCCTCTGCATTGCCCCCACCCCCAACAGAACTTCGGAATACAAAGCCACTTAGCTTCGGACTGGAACTGCATCCGAAATATCCTACAACTGGCATTATAGTCATCCAGCCCCCTTTTGTTTTGGTATCGTTCTTTTTGGAGTGTGGAATGCGTTTTTGGCACCATTGTCTAATCTCTCATTCATTGTATATGTAGGTAATAACCAATTCAATTTAGAAGTGAATAGTCATATTTTTTTTACCAGCAGAATCGGTCAGATCTCATCTTGTCTAATGTGTTCTTGACAGCACCATGCTACCCGCTTTCATCCAGGTCAGTCTTTTGACCTTTAAGATTTTGTATTCTCTGGGAAGAGCAGAGAAGGATTAAAAATTCAGTGATACCAACTCATTTATAATCTTAACAAATGGTAGGGCAAAGCAAGAATGCCAATTTGATTCCACAAGTAATTACTCAGTGTGAATGTGCCAGGTGTTGAGATTATGCAGTGAAAGGTTTCAGTCCTGTGCCTATAAACCTTCTGTGCATGCGTGGAGTAGCAGGACAGTCCTCTCTCTTGAAATTGCTAATAATACACCAGTTATACAGCTGCTACATTCTCACATAAATCTACTGTACCATAACCGACATGCACATTCTTGAAACAATATACTTTGATTCCTTTCTCTTTTTCTTTTGTGTATCTCGTGTAGGTATATGCTTTGTGATTACCATGAGGCTTACATAAAATATTACGGTCTACTTTAAGCCAATAACTATGATTGTATACAAAAAACGCTACACTTTTACTCCCCCACTTTGTTATTGTCACAATTTACATCTTTTCATATCGTATACCCATTATATTTTTAGACTTAATACTTTTAACTTTTATACTCGTATTGATTTATCCACCGTCATTGCAGTATGACTGTACACTGTATTTGTCTATTTATGAGTTTTCTAGTTTCATATGCTTTTGCATTGCTGTTTAGCATGTTTTCATTTCAACGTGAAGAACTCAGCATTTCTTGTAAGGCAGGTCTAACAGCTGGTCTAACTCTCACCTTTTCTTTGTCTGGGAAAGTCCTATGTCTCCTTCGTATTTGCCAAGTATAGCATTCTTGGTTAGCGGGGTTTTTTGGTTTTTTTTTTTTTCCTTTCATACTTTGACTATATCATCCCATTCCTTTCTGACCTGGGGAAAAGAGGGTCTGGGGCTTCCTGTTCTGCTATCTTGCTCTACACTAAAACGTCTTTTCATTCTTTTATGGGTGTCTTCCACGGAGCAGAAAGTTTTCAATTAGAATAAATTCCAATTTATCAATTTATTCCTTTCCATACATTATATTTTTGGCGTCATATCAAAAACTATTGCCAAACCCAAGGTCACACAAATTTCTATTTCCTACATGTTTTATTTATAGTTTTATGTTTTACATTTAGGTCTATAATTAACTTGCTTTAATTTTTGTATAAGGTATTTGTTGACCTTTTTTTTTTTGCATGTGGGTATTCCGTTGGTTTCAAACTATACTTTCTCCATTGAACTGCCTTTTTTCAAAACACAGCTGTTTCTCTGGAGCTATTTGTGGGTCTCTGTTCAGTTCCATTGATCAATGTCTATCATTTTCCAATCCCTCTATTATTATAGCTTCAAAATAAGTCTTGAAACTGATAATGTGAGTCCTCAACCTTTGTCCTTCTTTTTCAGAATTGTTTTGGCTATTATAATTCCTTTGCCTTTCCATATACATTTGAGAATCAGCTTGTAAATATCTACCAAAACCTTTCTGCACTGAATCTGTGTATCAAATTGAAGAAAGTCGACACCTTTCTATCCATGAACATAGGATCTCTCTCAATTTTAGATATTATTTGATTAATGTCATTGACGTTTTATAGTTTTTATTATATATCGCCTGCTCAAAGTTTTAGATTTGTACCTTAGAACTTTTTATTTTTGGTGCTGTCGTAATATATTTTTTCCCATTTCAAATCCCGAGGGTTCATTGCTGGCATCTGGAGCAATGAACTTTTTATACTATTGCTAAGCTCACTTATTAGTTCTATAAACTTTTTTGTATTTTTGTTTGAAATTTTTCTTCTTAACTACTTGTCATATGCATTGTAAAGTTTGCATAAATTGAAATTTGTTTCCATTTCATATTATTTCTCCCAAAATAGTCTTACCATATGACCTCCTAGGTATTTACTCAATTAAGTTGAAAAACCTATGTGCATATAAAAACATGCACATGAATTTTTATAGTAGCTTTATTCATAATTGACAAAAACTAAAGGCAACTAAGACATTTTTCAACAGGTGACTCGATAAACCGGAATATTCATACAATGAGATATTATTTGGCACTCAAAAAAATGAGCTATCAAGCCGCATATACACACACAAAAATAAGATAAACCTTACGTACATTGCGAAGTGAAAGAAGCTGGTCCTTTTTCACTTAGGCTACAGTCTAAGGCTACTTCGTGATTCCAATGACATGATACAATGGAAAGGGCAAAACTATAGGGACAATAAAGAGAGTGGTTGCCAGAGGCTGGAGTGGGGAGTGAGGGCATAGAAGGGGTAGTATTGAATATGTGAAGCACAGAGGATTTTTAGGGCAAAACTATTCATTATCTTTATGACACTGTAAGGATGGATGCATGTCATTACGCATTTATCAAAAGCCATTGAGCTGTAGAACACAGAGAGTAAAAACAAACGTAAATTGTGGAGTTTGGTTTAAAATGTATCAATATCGATTCATTAATTTTAACAAGTGTACCACGAGAATGCAAGACATTAATGCAAGACCGGAAACTGCAGCAGAGAACATGTGGGAACACTGTCTCATCTGCTCAACTTTTTAATATAAAATTGTTCTACAAAATAGTATTTTAAAAGCTCTAAAGTTGATTCTAGTGCAAACAGCTTGATAACCATTGGTTTTGTGATTTATAATAGCCTGCCTCTGGAACCAGATTAGCTGAGTTCAATTCCTGGCCCTCTTCCTTACTAGCTGTGCGGACTTGGGTAAGTTCTCGACCTTCCTATGTTATCATACATATAATAATAATTCACCTCATAGGGTCTCTGAGAGGATTAAATATCTTTAAGAGCCAGTGCCAGGCAGGCAGCCATCGGTCAGCGGGACATCAGTCATTGTTTTGTGGACGCTACTGTCACCTGTAGGTAAGAGCAGCTGGATCCCTTCCACAGAGACTCCCCCAGATGGCCGGAGAGCTGCACACCCCATGAGGAAACTGAGGCCTTGACCCACTGGAAGTGGAAAAGATGATTCTTATGCTTTATTATCTGGTCTTTCTAGCGTCTAATGGTGGTTATTGAAATTAAGTAGCAGCATTAGGGCTTTGTGGGCTTCCTTCAACTTGGCCCTCCGAGGCTGGCCCTGCTGCTTGATTTACTTGGTGTCCATAGATGGCATTAAGGAGAGTCAGCAGCCCTTGCAGTGAGTGGGAGTATGCCTTCCACACGCAACCCCCATGCAATCGTGTAGCTAATTCTGAGTAGTATTTACCCCACTACAAAGTAATCAGCTAGCAACTGGTTTCTCCCATTTTGAGACCTGGGGAAAAAAATCGTTACAATTTCTTCATGTGTAGTCTTTAAAAAAGCAAAGAGTATATTAAAGGCTGAAGGAAGATGATTGTAACTGAAGAACAGAAAAAAAATAATCAGTTTGTAAGGAAACCCAACTTCTGATTTGTAATCTTCATGTATAACAGAACGAACATTTTGTTTTATTTTTGACCAAAGAGTGATGCCCTAAAGACAAAGGCCTTTTATTTATTTATTTATTTATTACCTAAAAATAACTCACTGTAAGAAGAACATGTGCTTATTATAGAAAAATCAGAAAGGTAATAAAAATTCCATAACCCCAACTACTCATAGACAATCACTGTTAATGGTGTCATGTATATATTTTCTTTTTTCTTTTCTTCTCCAGACTTATTAAGTCCTTGTACTTATTAAGTCTTGTTCCAGGGACTGGAAATATCAAAATGAAAATTAGAGTTACAATCTCTGCTTTCATGGAATTTATATTCTAAGTAGAGAAGACACAGTAAATGAACCAAAATAAATAATTCGAATTATACTTGCTTAGAAAATAATAAAACAAGGTGACGGGAAAGAGAATGTCTTATAGGCGGATATTCAATAATGATGTTCAACAATCACATGGCTAGGGAATGCACCGTGAGAAGATGAGATTTTAGTTTGGAGGCTTCTCACAATGACCATTTACGTGTCCCCACTGGTTAGTCCCTCAGATCGTTCCTGGTAAACTGATCTCAACTGTGATTTTCTGTATTCACCTGTCTCTCCAGTTTTCAGGGTGGTCGTTTGCCCTGTTACATCAATTATGTGGTAGATTTTTTTAAGTCATTGATTTTCACTTTGTTCCATTTTTTTCTTGCTGTAAGGACAGTTATGATGAATTCCCAGTTCTTTTCATGTCAAAGCTGAAACCAGAAGTGTTGATTTTTTAAAAAATTAGTCATATAAATGCACATAAATACAATACTCTTTGGAGTATGCAACATATTAAGGGCTATAAAGGGTCCTAGAACTGTGCTACAAGACATGGTTAAATAGCTGTGATTCTCGCTGTAAATATCACGTTCATAATAAGCTGCTCTTTAAAACAGGTAAACAGAAAATCACATTGTAATACTGGTGAAAAGGTTACGAAAGTATTTTTTATTTCAATGAAACAAAGCAAGAGATAACATCGGCAGCTCACGACAAGATAATTTCACAGATTAAAATGGAGGTCACCTCCACACTATCACAGCCACCCTGGCTTTGAAAGTGTAAGACTGAATTTACTGATTTTTCTGTTGTTCTTTGATAAAGTTCTCAAACCACCTCTGATGCTACTCCTATCAATTCTATACAACAAACCTATTCTCAACACCTCTACCGGGTCTAAAATAATTCCCAATCTCAATAATCATACAGATGGCAGGGGACACAAATGTCAGATTATTTTATTAAATTCCAAACCACAAGAGAATTACAGTACCTAAAACGGCCAAGTGCAGTCCAGAGGAATTAGTGGTTAATTCTAGAGCACAATGGATGTCTGTGCTTGGTTTTGAATGACAAACGGAATTTTCTCTGCTATATAAAACTTATGTGCAAAGGGAGAGGAGACTGGGAGGCAGGCAGGAGTCAGACTACAAAAGGCTTTGTATACAATGCTAATGAGTAAGGTGATGGTGACTCAGGGCCAGCAGGCTCCAGAATGAGAGGATAGTACAGATGATGACACAGAAGTGATGAAAATGAAAGCTAATGACCAGTAGAGACTCCTGGAATTGTCCAGGTGAAAATTAGAGCTTGAAAACAGAAGGGGCAGACATGGAAAAGGGGGTAGGAGGGAGTTCTTTAAAAAAGAAAAAAAAAAACAAAACACAAGACTTTCATTTACGGGATATATAGAAATGAAAGGAGACTCTATAGGAGTCTTCAGTCTTCTGACCTATGGTCTTTCAGGTTTATTGAAGGAAGTCAAGATCGACTGATAATATTAATCTTGCTCATTAAATTTCAGATTGGCATTTCTGAAGAAGAGCCTATTTTTCCTTGCACTTCCAAACAGGTTCACACGAATCAAAGTTAACTTATGACCACAAGAGGCAGGACAAATTTACCACTGTAGACAACTTGGGATTATTCTGGGGTACTAATCCTTGCAATCACAAAAAACTAGGACATTAACAATTAAGGACTTTTAACTTTACGAATTCTGTACTGTCAGAATTCAGTTTCTCCTTCACACTTGGTAAATTCATCTAATATAGACCCCGGATAAATGATTACCTATAGAAAAATACATCCATAATTTTTCTTGCACGGCTCCACAGGTAAAAAGAATGAGACATTGTAGCCTCATTAGGTACATCTCCTAATACACCAATTAAAAAACTAAAAAATTATTTTGACTGAAACATAAACCCAGAACAAGAAGTTCTATACGGACAAAACTAAAGTTTGGTAAAGTAAGATTTCTATTTTCTACACAGAATATCGCCATTAAATACACAAGTGACAGCCCAAAATTGAAGAATGCTGACATTCCAACTTTATTTGAACCTAATTTCCATTCTTTTTTCAAAAGGTGAAGCTGAGAAAAAGGAGCAAAGAGGCATCCTCATCTACCTTCCTAACCCACGGAGGCATCCAGAAAGCTCTCTCTGACCCGCCTTCCCAGTCCTTTAACATCCCAGCTCATACTCTGCTGTACCAGAGACCCGAGACCCCGTTCCTGCTCGCTCTTGTTGGGGCCAGGGGTGCAGATCCGGCGGTGTGGTCCCCGCTTTGGCCACTGGCCTTTCTCCACCTTCCGTCCAACCCCGCCACCCCTGTCCCTGCGGCCCGAGGGCACGAGGTCTTCATCTCGCCCGTACCACTGCCTCAGGCCGGCGTCAGCTAGGATGGAGATGTCGCACAGGCCCGGCGTGCCCCAAGCCTCCTTGCTGACACCACCCGCCACGGCCCCAGTGCCGCACCGTGACACCCTGCAAACCTCCGCCCGGTAAGGCCACCCTGCCAGCCTCCCCGAACCACCGTCTAAGGTCAGACGTCCGTGGGCAGAGGAAGAGGAGTAAAAAGAAAACGCCAGGCTGTGCGGAGCGACGACATCACAACTCCCTGACGACAGACTCTCCTCCCTGGACCAACTCTTCCAAGCCGCCCAGCAACCGTCATCGACCACCTACTTTTCCTCCCGGGACAAAGTCGAACACCCCCACCACACTGCGCCTGCGCGCAGCTCCAGCGGCGGGACGAGGTGCTGCCAGTGCGCATGCTCCGTCCGTCAGCGCTCCGCCCTTGAAGTCTCCCCGGCAGGTTTTGAACGCGGTTGCTGAATCTGGCCGGCACGCGCATGCGTGTCTACAGCAGCTGGTTCTCTCCCAGCAGACGCTAGAAGCCGCGGCTCCTCCGATTGAAGCAGGACGGGCCGGAAGTGGCACTGCTTGATATTCTCCCCTCTGCCCTGGCGGAAACGCGAGCGCCGGAAGAGAGGTTCCGGGCTTGGCCTGGCCTGGAGGCGATCGAATGGAGACCCGGGTTGAGGACGGGGGATTGACTGGTCGCCCGACGCTGGTCTCTTCCTGGGATGCCACATGCGGGGCCCTGGCCCAGAGCCTCCATGTCACCGGAGCTGGTCTCGGCGCCCGGGACTTCGACTGGGAGCAGCTGCCGGCGCCGCCTGCCCGGGGGTGCGCTTGGCCGGCGGGGTCAGGGGTTGCAGCTCCGTGACAGTCACGCCGCTGGGGGAGCCGTGAGAGGAGCCGGGGGCCGTGAGGGAAGAGGGTCAGGGCCCGGGATCCGGGATCCAGGAGCGGAGCTGGTGACCGGTCTGTGCGGGGAGCCCGGGCCTGCGTCGGCGAGGGGCAGGCCGGGGGTTGGGGGGCAGGACGGCGGGAAGGCGGCGGTTACTGCGAGTGCGTGAGTGTCGGGCGCAGGGAAGTGGGGGCCGGGCACCTGGCACCTCGGCGTTTCAAACACAGCCCTGTGTCCGTTATGTCAGCTCACGAGGACCCCTGTCAAAATCAGAATCCGCCCCTCCAAACAAAAACCTCCTGTCGGCCAAATAGGCTTACAAAGCATTCCAGCCGTCGAGAATCTCCATCCTCTTAATTTTCAAAAAGACACACTTTCGTCCTTTATTCTATTCTGTTTCCCCCCCGCCCCCACTACTGACCGGTTCTTAGTTCACTGGGTGTCCAGTTAATGCATTTAACTGGAGAGACTGATACAGGGAGTCGCTTAGAAAGTAGAGGTCAGGGAAAAAACAGAGTGGAAAGCCGTTACGTGTAAAACATTTCCTTATAAATTGTGTGTTGAGCATTCGTCGGTTGCGTCGCACAGCTCTTGCGCTTCAAATGCAAAAGTAAATGAATTGGATAAAATGTCAACCCCTGTGGCCTAATAAGTGGGTTAGGTTAACAACGGGGTTCAGAGGACTAGGCTCTACAATATTCTTAATTTTCTTTTCAGCCAGGATCTGGTGATTTTGAAAAGGAGCCTCAACAGCCAAGATGAAAACCCCTGCTTCCTTTACCTAAGATGTGAGCCTGGTGGAGGTGAAGAAATCGTTTCTGTTGGCGTTTTAAGTTCAGCAAGAAATATGGAAGTATACTTGGGAGAGGAGTACTGTGGAACCAGTAGGGGCGAGAATGTTTGTAATGTTCTGGATAACAGGTTTGTGACTGCTTAATACAGAAGTGTTCTTTTGAAGTAGTCTTATTTTCCTCAGCTTTTGCAATATTTATTAATTCTCTGACATTGGTGCCAGATGTTAGAGGAGAGAAGATTAAACCAGCAGGATTTAATAGAACTTTACCTTTAAGGGATCTTCAAGATAATCTAGATAAGCTTTCTCATTTTTATAAACATGGAAATTTAGGGCTGGTAGAGGGGAAGTGACCAGGTAGAGGGTTGCACTAGCCGGTGGCACTGTGTCGTCAAATGGAGTGTGGCCCTTATTACTGCCGCCTCACTCTCTCCGTGAACTCACAGTGGTGTGTTCTCCAAACATTAATTTGGCTGCCGGTCTGGAACTTCGAACACATTTTTTTTGGAAAGAAGTCCACAACAAACAGTAAACGGGCCCAAGCATGTACCATAGCAGCCTATTTAATCCACAATTCAGCTGTTGTAGTTTGATTTTTCTTCAGGCTCTTTACACAAAGATTCTTCCCTAATCTCTCTTTAGTATAACTCAAAACATGGACTGTTTGTGCATATCGGAAATAAAAGCTAGACTTATTGACCTTTACTATATGCTCTGCACTACATGATTTTATGTAGTTTATCTCATTTAATTCTCTCACAAATGTAGAAAGAAGAGACACAATGTTGGTAACGAGGTCACTGGAGTAGGGACCTCCAATTCTTTGTCCCTTGCCAGACAAATTGAATTTCAGGGTTTAAGTAATGACCTAGAAACAATTCATTTTTAAATGTATCTATTAAAAGTGATAATAAAAGTAAAAATAATTTAAATTCTATTTTATTTTTAGTGAACATGAAATTATTTTCTACAAAAAATATTTAAAATTAGAGTCCTCCACTCTTGCTTGTAAAATAAAGGTAAGTATCAGTAAATTCTAACTAACTTGACAACTGCAAATGTTTTGTATGAATCATACTTATTTTTGGTTGGTTTGATAATACAGTTAGTCTAACTTTGCTCCTGGTTTTCTTTACATAAAACTATAGTGTCAAGATTACCGCATGCAGTTTTGGCTCCATTATATCAAGAAAAGCGGAAGGGAAGTAGAGATTATAGAAAGAGCATCTCAAAGTTAAAGGGACTTGAACTGGTGTCTTGAGTATGAAAAATATCACGGGTGAACTTCTGTGGTGTGTCTGAAGTCTAGAGAAAGAGTAGTAAGCTAGACGTCATAAGCCCAGAATATTCTGCCTCGTTGCCTACCAGCTGAGTGACAGTGGGCAGATCTCCTTATCTCTGGAACTACCTCACGGAGCGATCTGAGTGCTTAGAAAGATGAACCCTTACTGTGTAACGTGAATGTTCGTAATATCATTTCTAATAACCAAAATGTAAAAACAATGCAATTATCCATCACCTAATGAAAGGATAAACAAAATATGGTATAACTCTTACAGTGGAAAAGTATTTAGTCATATAAAGCAGTGGGTTACTGATACATACTACAAACCTGGATGAGTCCTGAAAACATATTGTATGAAAGAAGTCAGTCACAAAGGACCACTTATTTTGTGATTCCATATATATATATATATATGAAACATCCAGAATAGACAAATCCACAGAGAATGAAAGTCAATTAGTTGTCTAGGGCTGGGGAGAGGGAGGTGGAGGATAGGGAGTGACTGCCAGTGGTACAAGGTTACTTTTTAGAGTGATGGTTACACAACTCTGTGAATATACTAAAATCCATTGAATTGAATTATACATTTAAATGGGTTGATTGGCATATGAATTATCTCAATAAAGCTTTTTTAAAAAAATTTTTTTAAATCATCGTAATCTTTTTATCTCCACATTACTTCATTCAGGGTTAGGAGACTTTAGAATAAGAAAAGAAGTAAGTGATTTTCATAGCAGTCAGGTTGCAAATTTACGAACTGATTATTCCAAGATGTTGTTTTAGATAGTGTATGTTGATAGCTTCCAAATTTATTTAAATAGAGTGATTCATTCATTTAACATGAAATATTCATTCAAATTTGTGAGTGCCTACTGATGATGGATACTCTACTAGGCATGGAGGAATTAGCAGTAATATGTAAACTGGAATGACTGCTCTGACGTTGCTTCCATTTCGGTGGGGTGGACAGACAGTCGGCTGACTCAACGAGTAAAATATGTACGATATTCAGCGATGAGAAAGGATATGGGATTGAGAAGCAGAGGGGATAGCAGGGAGGTTAGGAGGTAGGTGTATAAATTTAAGGAAAGGTTCTTTAATTGTTGAGGACAGTCATCTTTTTGCTGCCACATTCAGAGTACTTGGATCCAGAGTCTAGTTTGACCTGTGTCTTCATGTTGCTTACGGTTGGTTCCATGTGTGTCTCTGAAGCTAAGTGTTTTTTGCAACTGTTCTGTGGAAGTACATGGGAGTGCAAAGGGCCGTTCCATTTAGGAAAATCCTGAACTTACTGAAGCTTATTCTGGGTCAGTAGTGTATGAAAATTAAAAATAATTGTTACTGATACATATTTTTGAACACTTCCTCAGTGGTGAGTACTGGGGATTTCAATACATAATCCTCACAACGGCCGTGTGAAATCGTTGTCATCACCTTCCCTCTTCTTATTTCTGACTTAGCTTTTGGCCTTTGCTCAGGATTATACAGGCTCTCAGTAGCACAGGCACCAGTGAACTCAGGTCTGTCTTGTTCTACATGCTGTTCCCTTTCCACCTCGCTACTCTGTTGTCCACATCACACGTGAAATGCATTCTGGTTCAGAAACATGGATGAAATGAGGCAGTATAAAGCATTGGAGAGGACCCTGCCGTAGAAGCCAGAAGAGCTAAGTTCCAAGCTTGACCTTTGCTAATTGGGTAATCCTTTAACAAGTTAGAAAATCACCACTGACCTCATCTTTTCGTGTGCGAACCAGCAGGTTATGTTAGACCATCTTGATTTTCCCTTATTCTAAATTCTAAAGGACTGACTTATATTTATTATTTCAGTAAATACTTTGGAAGGCCTTCTGAATAGCTTTATTTTGTATTACATTACAGCTAGCTATGGTGTGTTAAGGTTTCCAGATTCAGTATAGTTTATTTAATTCCTTAAATTAAGTAAGTGAAACTTTATTTCAGCCCCTTTGTCTAACCTATGTATTTTTTCAGTTTGAAAATGGCATTCTTTTTTACACAAATAGTTCTTCTGAGCCTCATAATAAATTGGAAGTACTGACCAATACAATTTTAGGGAAAACAACAAAATGTATTTAAAGTTTATATTTGCTCTCCTGAATACCTCACTATTGCTAGTTATACGAAAATGGTGACCTTGAATAGTGATTATTGTTTAATATTATTTCCTGGAACTTTTGTTTTATCACAGTTGCTCTCCTTTGGTGAGAAGCAGTGTGTGTTCATCAGTAAAGTGGTGGTACACATGAGGCCAGTTTTAGCAAGTTCTTCAACAAGCTCTCCTGCTCTAGGATCAAGGATAGACCTTGAGAGAGTCCAAACCATCATGGAGTCCATGGGGTCAAAGTTATCACCTGGAGCCCAGCAGTTGATGAGTATGGTTAGATTTCAGCAGCAGGTAGGTAGAGATGGATTTCTTTCCAGACATCTTTAAAAATTTCAGAATGATGGCTTTCTATAAGGACGTGCAGTGACTTCAATTTTTCTATGAACTTTTATTATTGATTTGACTGTTACCTTTACTAACTTTTGTAAAAATAGCATTCTGTAGACCTACCCTCTTACAAAATTTTTTTTACAGACTTCATAATTTTTCATGAATTGACTCATTCATTCAGCAAGTATTTATTAAGCACCTTCTCAGTGAAGAAGACACTGTTTTGAGCACTTTAGAAGATTCAGATTAGAGCTCGATAGCCTGTCTTTAAGGATTTTTAGTTTCATGTTTTTAGGCATCTAAGAAGCATGGAATTAGGCATGGAATTTGGAGGGATGCAGTTTCACAGATAGAAAATAGTGTGCATTAAATCTTCAGTGCTAGAAGGACCAGATTCAGCTGGGAAGTGCATAGAAGTTCATTTCTCTGGAACAAAGAAGTGACAGAAGTTTAAAGTAGGTTGAGGCCTGGATCATGGAGCCTCTCATAGCAAACACCTAATTTGCCTTTGGATTTTTTTAATTAAAATTTCTACCAAATTAATTGTCATGCACAGTTTTGACATTGATTCCACTGCAAATACGATTGCTGTTGGTATAGAATTTTCAATTTTCTGTCATAAAGTCTTTTGCAGTATTATTATACCACCACCAAAAGTAATTGAGCTTCACCATCATGACTGAGTACGGCTGCTCTCCAGCACAGGAGGCTGGTCTGAGTTGAACGTTTTGTAAATATCGTTGTGTATAGTCCCTCTTCTAGCAATAACTCAAGCTTTGTTCAAAACTTGCATGCAATGGAAGGAAGTAGCCTTTCTTTATGAAGAGCGTTTCTCCAGAGCGCAGTTCTGGGGACGACTTCGCATAGAGACGCCTCCCCCTGGTCCCACCACCGGCCCTGGCTCTCACCATCCCCCTTCCTGCTTTATTTTTCCCTTAAGTATTCATCACCGTCTTCACCCATGGGATGTGTTTCCTTTCTTTCTCTGTTGTCTGTCTCTCCCTGCCCGCTTAGGTCAGAGGGTCCACAGATCGGCGATACTCATTTGTTTTGTTCACCGTCTTATTTCCAATTCCTGAAACAGTACATAGAGCAGAGTAGATTTCTGGTAAATATTTGTTGAATGAGAGAATTTGGGACTAGTTTAATCCAGGAATCACTTTTCAGAATATCTAGAAAGTGGATGGAGTCTTCAGCTAATCCTGCATAATCTTTTCCTCAGTCCCTCGCACTAGGAAGTGAGCAGCAGGAGGTCGAGATGACACCCCCTGGGGAGGCCCTCGGGTAGAGGTCTAGGTTTTGAACTCAGGGTAGAGCCAGAGAACTTAAAAGTTAACTAGGCAAGAGGTGGCTTTGCTTTTCTCTTGTGGAAAATTTGAAGAGCATAGCAAGAACATGCCCCTGCGTGGGAGACGGTGTCACCTCCTCTCAAAAGTGAGCCAGTTGAGGCCACAGAACATAATCTATTATCGTACAAATTATTAAAGCAGACATGGCTCAAGGTAGCTCATTTTAGTCATGGAAAATGTCACAGTGCACCCAGAGAACATCAGACTTTAAGTTTATAACAACCTGGGTATCTTTCATGAAAAAATAGTTGCTAGAGATAGCCTTAGGCTGGCTTCCTAACTGTGAAAGTTGACAGATGACATTTCATTCTACGAAAATTCTCCACCACTGTGAGTCAGTTGAGAGTACGGCATCTCACTGCCATAAAGTAAGGAGGCCTTGGTGGTGGAAATATTAAAATATCCCAACGCAATTTTACTAAGCACGCTAAGATTCGTTTTAACATTTTCTTGAGGAAAAGCTACAGTCAGGTGATTAAAAGCCCTGACTCTGGGGGTGCATGGCCTGGTTCTGCCACTCACGGGTTGTGTTGCCTTGGCCAAGGACCTTTAACCTCCGTGTCCTCAACTTAGCATCGCTGGTAAGCGTAGCTTCCTTCACATGGGTGTTTGAGGATCAGAAGCAAGAATGAACATTGCCCGACTCATAGTAATGACCCCAGGGTCAGCTGTCATTGTCGCTATGTGAAGAGTAACGTTTACTCGTTCACCTCGCTCAGAATCGCGCTGCCATCGGGGAGCAGCTCCAGTCGGCGTGGGGACGTGCTGCGTGCAGGCGCGTGGCTGACTTCCGATCGCCGTCTCCTCCAGCAGCCCTCGGTGGGTCATCCTCCGCCCCCTTCCCTGGCAGAGCTGGGCTCACACCCGGAAACGTGACCGAAGATGTAAAAGCTTATGTAGATGGGGGTACACGGCCACCTGGCGGAGGACATGCTCCCAGCCTCGAGGAGTGTAAAACGGTGCCGCCAAACCGTTCTCTCCTTGAGAGTGATCTTCAGAATGCAGCGTCTTCTTTCCTGCCAAAGAAAGCGGGCAACAACTCCAGTGTACCTCACTCTGAGTTGCTGCCTTTTCTGCAGAATCTGTGTGGTCAATTTAACCATCTCCGGGTGGGACATAACACCCAGTGGCCAGAAAACGTCACCAAGCCCGGCGAAGGCATCGTCGGTGTTGGGTAAGTATGGAAAACACATGTGATTCAGATTTGGCAGATGGAGAATCAGCTGGAGATAAGTTCTTGTTTCGAGAACTACTGCCTGAAAATGTTTCCGGAGATAATTTTAGGAGCTTTTACATTTTACTGTTAAAACACTTACAGGAAATAGATGCTCTACGGAGTAGAATGCATGCTTTGAAAGACGTGCCTGCAGCTGGAGGTGTGGCCCTTCTCGGGCGGGCACCGGCATCATTAAGGGTTGCAGTAGAAAGTTCTCTGTATGAACAGAGAGGAGCTATGGACAGTAATATGCACTTTTATTGTCTCATTGTACTAGATGAACCATCACAAGTTTTTCTGTGTAGATCATGTGTGACCTGAGCTAATTTTGGAGTCATCAAAACATTTTTAAGCTCCTAATTATTTCTAGTGTACAGGCTCTCATCCCCTCATCTCATGACTCCAGTATATCCAAAAGTAGGTGAATAGTTAAACAAATGGCAGTACATCTATGTCAGTAATGAAAAGGAATGAATTGTGGATGCACGCCACAGCTTGGGTGGCTCTCAAGGACATTACACGGCATGACAAGACAATCTCAAGGGGCCACCTTCTGTATGATTCCACTGTATAATCTCAAAAGTATAGACATAGAGACCGTATTAGTGGCTCTCGGGATTTGAGGAATGAAGGGGATTAGGGCAGTGGATGTGACAATAAAGAGGTAGCAGGAGGGCGATCGTGGCGACGTTGACATGAGTGTGTGTACGTGTGAGAGCACGTCACACACACACTGTAGTCACACAGTTTTCTGGTTTTGATAGGGACGGTAAGAAGTCAGGTAAGATGTAGCCATTGGGGCCACTGGGTGAAGGGTCCTGGGGAATCATTCTTTACAACTTCCTGTGAATCTATAATTATTTGAAAATAAAGTATTTTTTTGAATCGCTCATTTTCTAGAGTAATGGTTCTCAAACATTTTGGTCTTTCCACTCTTAAATTGAGGACTCTAAAAGAACCTTTATTTATGTAGGCTCTATAAAATTATTTAGTTGTTTAAAAATAACAAACCCATTATATAGTCATATAATTTTGGAAAGATATATATTTTCCCAAAAACAGATTAGTGAGGATGGTATCGTTTTAAGTTTATGCAAATCTATGTTAGTTTCTGCTTGGATTCTCATGTATGTTCATCAGAGCACGTCTAGTCAGCAGCCCCTGTGACCGCAGCAGGACTGAGAACAAACTGAGTTAACCTCTGACACACACTTCTTCATACCCTAAACCTACCACCTTAGCAAATTCCAGAAACAGAAGAACAGACAACCACACATTCTACGTTAGTCACAACAATGACATTACACATCATGTAGCCTCTGGGATAGGTCACTGTACATTCATGAGACTATGAGGATGAAAGCTTCGAATAACCTGTTAGTGTTATTACAAAAAGGCTTTGACCTCATGGAACTCCAGTGTTTTGTGAACCATGCTCTGGAATTCTGTCCTCATATTCATTCATCGTGAGCTTAAGAAACTGCCGTGCTTTATTATTTTTGTTTTAATTTGCCCATTCCAGAAAAGTAGGCAATATTTTTCCTATTAGGTTAGAAAAGAACTTTCCAGGACGTTAGTAAGGTGGTGTGGATGAAATAAGACAAAACTGGCTAAATTGTTCGGGGGGGTACTTGAGAGACATCCATGGAGACCTTGACTTTTTTTGGCAAGATCAGTTTTGATCTGGAGCTCAAAATTCAAAAGACCCTCCTTTCTAAAGGCTTGTTCTTTGAAAGTAGAAATTCTACCATCTTCATTTTCAGATTCTCGTTTCAGTTGTAGGCGTCAGTGTTTAAAGAATTAAATAAGAGTGCCGTGGGCATTCAGGACTGGGCTGCCTGCCGCATGTGTGTGTTAGAACCTGGGAATATGTCGCAAGGAGACAAACTTCAGCGATGTGTGTCGGCTGCTCGTTGTGTAGTTTGGTTGTTTCTGTTCTAATATTGCGGATAATTATTATATTATTATTTTAAATTTATTTTTAGAATGGGAGAGCAACCTGTTTGCTCCTACTTGGAAAAGATTCTTTCGAAAAATATGGAACTGATGGAAAAGAAACTTATGGACTACATCGATCAGCGAATCTATAGACTCCAGGAGCACATAGATAATAAGGTGGCTTTGCTAATGGACGTGCTGCAGAACCCCAACTCCCCACCCACTGGGACGCCTCTAAGACATTGTGACTCCGGAGAAAGACTTTCAAATGGAGAAAGATAAGCGCTCAGCGTATACAGTGCACTACAGATATTTATACATATTTATTACAAAGCCAAGGCCCAAAACGTTCAGAGCAAGTATCTAATGCCATCTGAGGATCAGCCACGCACATAATGACGTTGGTGTTCGTTTTACTATACTCGGTTTGTAAATCCAGTACTGTCCAGAGTTAACATGATACGGTCATGACTAGTTTGGTTTACACTGTTGTTCACTCTTAGAGAATTTTATGTATGCTTCTGTGTCGTTTAAATCTTGAAAATTTTTAAGGATTTCTAATACAGTTCATTAGTGCGTATTGTGAATGGGTTTGATTGAAGTACTGTTTTCATTTAAACAAGAGTTTATGTTTTAGGGTTATGGATAAATGCTTAAGTATTTGATTTATTTTTTTTCTTTTTTCTATTGATTGTTCTTGGAAAACTGGGTACTTAAACTTCCACCTTTAATTTCAGATCACCAAATTACATTTATATTGTTTATTTTGATAAAAAATTCGGCGTGATGTTTGGCATGTGTAAAATTTGTTTCCATTAGAGCCGTTAATTTTATGTGCCATCACATTGTATCTGTAATAGGAAAGTGAACATCAGAACTGGCCTGTTCCTTGTTAGGATTATGACTTTAGATTTAGTGATTGAAGCAAAATGAGAGAAGCTGTCTTGTTTTATTTCAATTAACCCAGAAAGTGTAAGGAACGCCCCTTCTCTGAGCTGACACAGGTTCTCCCTTCCCGAGCCCTTCTCTGCATGTTGCAGTGGGAAGGGCCAGGCCCTGCATGGGAGGAGCGAGGCCTGTGACTCTAGGAGGCGGCCGTTCTCGCTGGCAGACTGAATTTCAGAAATGGTAACTGTATATGTGTGTTGAAAGGTAATATATTTGCATCTAAAAAATAAATGCATCCACTCCGGAAACTACTTGTGTTAAATAAATAGAAATACTTTTGGTCTAATATTTGTTAAGATGAAAAAGGATGTTTTGTACTCATTTACTATTTTGGTGAATTCAGTTCTTAAAGCGAGGGTTAATGCAATGTTCATTTATGAATCACTCCAACTCGTGATACCACTTTTACAGGCTCTTAATTTATCCGTAACATGTAGGCACGAGGTACCTTTTCTCTAGCACTCAGGAGAAACAAGTCTCACTCCAAGCTGAACCCTTCTGTTAATGGCTGTACAGCTTCTGTGGTTGGGGTGTGTTCTTTGATTCACGAGTTGCCTCAATATAGTTATAAGTAGAACATATTGGCTATGTTTTATAAAGTGATTAAAATACAGTAGTCATGATTATAGTACTACGAATAATTCCGATGAGATTTTATTCCTGATCTTTCATTTCTTAATGAAGACCTATATTACATTTTATATATATCTGAATTTCATAGGTATTGATTTTCTTGTATTTATAAGTCACTATACACATGTTTATGTATACATAGTTTTTTATTAAAATTACTGTTTCATAACAAAATACTGCCTGAATTTGCCAAAAAAGGAGAAGCGGACCACAGCCCTTACAAATCTCTCTCAGCCTTTATTCTCGCATGTCTCCTCCCCGTGCCGCCCGGTGGGCCTGGGAGGTGAGGGCCAGGAAATGCGCCCTGCGGTTTGAAGTAGCTGCAAGTGGGGTGTGGTGATGAAGAAATTAAATCAAGATACCGGTTATGTTTTTTAACTGCCACGTTGTCTCCCTTGGAGTGTTATTTCATCTGCCTCTTCCCCACGCGTGGCATGTTGAGGTTTGCATCCCTCTTTCATCCCTGGACTCAGTCTTTTTGGTCCAGGGCAGAGAGGGCGTGTGTGTGCTGCTGCCACGTGACTAGAGACTGACTGGAGGCTTCTCCTCACTGAGCCCTGGCCTGGCTTTCCAGGCTCACTGGCCACGACCATGTGACCAGCTACTCCGGCCTGTCCTTTCTCCCCACGTCGCCTCAGGCTGGGGGCTCCAGGCGAC